GGGAGAGGGGGGAGAGTTGTGAAAAGGCAATAACTGTAAAAAGTTAAGTTACTTTTAACCCTGCAGGCTACACAATAGCAGGGTCAAATAGGTTGGCCATATTGGAACTCATGGTTCCAATATTCATGCCTCAAATGAACTGAATTCATTTGGGAGGACTCTCTCACGATGCTACCACAAACTTCATCAAATAGGTGTTCTAATGTAGTGCTAGATGATATACTGGTTAGCCTGACTCCAGAGTTACAGATTGATCTGTAGAAGCATCCTTCATCTTCTCCAGATGTTGCTACCTCTTCAGTCCCTTCCTTTCCACTAGACAATTATTACCAGTTCTAAAAATTGCTAAAGAGACTAGCCATTGTCCAAGGGACCCTCTTAATACAAAACAGTCAACACCAGTTACTTGGTATCTTACACACTTTGGTACCAGCAACTGTTTTCTCTACCAATCAATGCCATCCTCTAGTTGGCATGCACTATATGACACAACCTGGTCATGTGTGTACCCACTCTGAAAGAGGCTGAAAAGAGGTAATATATTGTGATCTGTGGGTCAGATTTCCTGTTCTTTTCGTCCCCTGAATTCATTGATAATCCAGGTGATTTGTGTATTCCAAACACCACCACCCACGCTCTACCCCATCTCAGAAAGAGGATTAAAGGCTATACCTCATGGACATTGAGGTCTTCTCTTTAGCGGGACTCCTATTTTGTATTTCAAATTACTTGGCCCTGCTGGCCAATATGATTTTATTATCTTTGGGCAATTGGCTGAGTTTGCAGACAAGCTACCCTCCCAAGAGCATAGACAATTCTATGTAGTTCTGTAATACCTCCAGTTACTCCTAGGTCCGTGCTACGAATCACAGTAGATGCAGCATGGGAGAAAGCACAAAGATGTGTGATTGAAAATTTTACAAGTGGGCAATAGATGTTGGTATTACGGACAGATCGGAGGTGGGAGTTGAAATCTTGATAGTAAATGAAAAATGATGATTAGGTTGGATACTGACTGTTAGGAGCCTTAAAAGTGGAGAAAAGCAGCTTATGTCTGATGTAATAAAAAAGAGGGAGTCATTGGAGTTCAAGAAAAGGAGTGACAGAATCAAACTGAGGATATAGGAAAATGAACTTTGTAGCAGCATTTTTAAAGGACAAATTTGCATTTCTCAAGACTAGAGGAAATGATGTTGAGGTATTTAAGGTGTAAGGTAATAAGGGCCTGGATGAGAGTTCTAGCGGATGAGAGCTGTTTTTGAAACAATCGCTTTCTGTGAGCTAAGTTTCTTATGTAGGAGGTCAGTTTTCTGGTAGCTTCAGTTTGTAGAATGAGTGAGTTTCCTTATTCCAGAGACCACATATGCTATTTTGCATAATCTTAGCTTTTTGCAGGGGAGGAACTGTCTAGGAGTCCCCAGTGGAACTGCCTAAACTTAGAGACGGCATTTGGCTTCTTGTGTGTGAGGGAGATGGCTCAGGCTCTCATTCTCTGCTGCTACCTGAAAGAACAAACAAACAAACAAATCTTAAGAGTTACATAAGAACGGCCGTACTGGGTCAGACCAAAGGTCCATCTAGCCCAGTATCCTGTCTACCGACAGTGGCCAGCACCAGGTGCCCCAGAGAGGGTGGACCGAAGACAATGATCAAGTGATTTGT